CCCCAGCCGGTGCGGGGGTGGGGGCGACCTCGGCCGCCCGGCCCGGTCCTGCGGGGCTCCGCGGGACCCGTGCGGGCGTTCGGGAGGCGGTTGCGGGCCCCTCGTGTCCCCCGCTCGCCTCTCCCGGCGGCAGCGGTTCCGTTTGAGGCCAGGGGCTGGATCGCGGTGTGGGTCTGAGGCGGTGCGTTCGGCTGCTTCTCTGTAGGGAAATGCTCGGGGGAGGGCGGAGGGGGGGTGTGTGTGGAAACAGAGGGGACTCGGCGTGTTCGGTACCGGCTCCTGTCCCGAAGGGGTGTGAGGCTTCGGGCTATGAAACGGGGAACCTAGAGAAAAATACATTTCTCATCAACTTAAACGCTTCTTACATGTATCTAATACTGTGCTTGGATAGTTAAGGGAAGGAAAAAAAAAAAGTGATTTGTGTTATTTTTTTTGGCGTGTTAATTCTCCTGAATGAGGCATGCTTTGTCTGAAGGTTTGATGCTGGTTTAAATGTTGGAAAATCCTCTTGTGAACCTGTGCTGGTGGTGTTGTTTACTCATTCAGTTTTTTTTTTTTTTTTTTTTGCAACAAGAGTCACGAGTTTTTCTTTTTTTTCCCCAGAGATGAACATTTAGATAATTCCCACCACTGGCTCTAGCTGTTTTAAGTCATACATAGTCTGAAATCATTCACTTTCAGATCTGGAGATCTTCCTTAGTGTGGAAGTTTTAAAGGTTCTAATCTAAATTCTTTTTAGATACATACAATAGAAGCCTCATACTGTAGTAGCAGCCCTTTCTGGTGTTTTTTTTGTTTGTTTGTTTGTCTTTTGTGTTTTTTCATCTTTCCTGTGATGTGTATGTTGAGTTGTTTATATTTTTAAATGGCATATGAATAACATTGAAAAGACACAGCCCGAAAGCTTTACGTAACTTGACACAGTGTTGAACAGGATGAAGGAACTGGATTGCAACAAAGGATTTATGTTATTTTCTTAGATAAAAAGCGTTAGCTTTCATCCGGTTCCCTGATCCTGCTCTCTGTGGCCACATAAACACTTCTGTTGCCATGAGGGAAGGTGTGTGGGAGAGCAGGAGATGATCTCCCAGTAGTTAGTGGTGGTCGTGGAGAGGGTGTCATCAGGAGTGCCCCTTCGGTGACAGTGATGCTGGCTGTGTAAAAGTGCAGCATTAGCTGGAGTTCAAAAGGTAACAGCCACATTTAGGCAAGGCAGTGCAGGTTTCAAATGATGCTTCTATCTTGTATTCCAGTGAAGATCAAAGGGCTAGTGGTCTTGATCTTCTGCTTTCAAGCTCCTCCAGAGGCACTTCCAGCAGAGGACAGCATGTTTCAGTTTGCTCTCCTACTTTGGTTCTCAGTGGTTTTTTTTGTAGCTGAGCTTCGCTTAAGAAAATTAGTCATGTTTTGTGCTTTACTGGGTCCAGCTGCTGACACCGTATTTGGGGTTGATGTCCTTGTCTTGCTTTCCTTGTTTTTTTCCAGCTGCACAAGGACTGCTTCTGCTTCCCTCACCTCTTGTTGTTTGCACTTCTGTATTTGGCAAGTGTTTTATCCAAGACCAGATCAGTAGTCTGGATCCGTGTGGCCCTGGGTTGAGCCAGCCAGGTATCTCTGCAGCGTGCTTACTGGGAGAGGGCTATGCAGACCCACGCAGACCGACCTTACCTGGACCCAGTAAGGTCTGTTAGTCCCTCCTTTACCTTCCCAGCAAAGGGTATCTGTGTAGGTGGGCACCACTCCTTTAAAGCATGTGTATGAGGGTAAAGTTCAAGTCACTGTGGAAGTGGGATCTCTGGATTTCTCTGTTTTTGTTGTAATTAAGGACTCTCCGTCTTGATGTGGTTCAAGTGAGTCACTTTTCCTCTGTAATAGCCTTCCAATAACTCCTTGAAGGTTGTGTTTTTATTATTGTATCCATATGATGTTACAAAGCTTTCATGCTGGAAGTCATTTCTTAGTAACGGTTAATAAATTCTCGTAATAACTGATCATCTAGAAGCTGGAAGCTCAGATGAGGCACCTGTGAATGAGGTATGAGGGAAAAAGGGGAGGTAATTGACATTTGTTCTTTCATAAATTCAGGGTGTTTCAGGCACAAGGAAGGAATGTTTAACTAGTTCTCAAAGCAAATGAGCTAACATAAGTTTCTGATGGAGGTTTACCCTTCTTAGGCAATCTATTCCAATAGTTTGCTGTTCTTACCATTGAAAATACTTCTAATTTCTAATCTACATTTATTTGCTATAGTTTAAGCATTTAAGAATTCTAACATGCATTTTATACACCTTGTGAACTGCACCTCTTCTGCAGGAATGTGTCACGTGTTTTGGGGGCTTTCTCTGTGGTGTTTTCCACACTTAAGAAATCCCATTCCTTCGGTCTCTTCAGTGATTTTTAAATTTTTATTCTTATACATCTGTGGGTTATTCTCACTGCTTTTCTTGAGGCTTTTTCCACTTGGTTTGCATTTTTCTGGAACACTGAAACTGGACACAGTGCTCCATCTGAGTCCTTAGTACAACAGGCAGAGTCAAAATTATTTCATGCGCTTTTCATAGGATACCTGCATTTCATACATCTCAGTAGGATGATAAGTCTTTACATATTTTTTATTTTTTGCAATGATATGTGTGATTTATGTTCAGCATAAACCCCAGATTCTTTAGCACTTTACCACTCAACATATCTTTGGCCAGAACAGTATTTAACCTTGCCTTCCATGTTGTGTTATGCAGCTGATTACTCTTACTGTTTTGCACTGTCAAACTACATATTACTTCAGGTGACTTTTGCTCTTGCTTCAAGTGACTTTGGATTCTGAGTCCCTCCATCCAAGCGCTTGTAACTGTCCTAGATTATAGTGTTAACTTAAGTAAATGACCTTTCTGTCCTGATATTTTCCCATGTGTAATTTGTGGACAAGTTGTTGTCTGGGAGATCTTCAAAGTTGTTGCTTGTGACCACAAGAATCAAACTGAGGCAGAGCAAAATATGGAGTTGCCTGCAGGAAGTTCCTTGCTAAACAGCCTTCACCTCCAGCCCCCCAGGTTACTTTTTGTAACAGTGGAAAATGTTAAAAGATTAGAGCCATGTGAATGGGCTTGCTACCTTTTTTTCTTTCTGACTGAAATAATGATAACTTATCTCTGGGTATGGGTTTCTAATCATCTCTCAGTACTTCAGTATGTACCGTATTTGTTTAGATTATATGACCGTCAATTTAAGAGTGTCAAAAGTCTAGTTAAACCCAAACTATATTGCCTCTAGTTGCCATTTTGCTACCTACGTTGTTACTGTGTCATTGGAGTAAATAAAATTCGTTTGATATGATTTGTTCTTAACAAATTGTGGGTTGGATCTTACCTGCTTCGTTATCTGAAATATGCAGGAGATAGGTCGTTTGTCTCATTATTTATTTCAGCATCTTCCCAGGGACTGACAGTAACCCTTACTGGTCCGTGTTTCCCTGTGTATTCAGTTTCCTGCTCTTCTGAGGCAGGTGCTTTTCCCTTTCTTCAGGCTGCTGGAACTTAATGCAGAGAGCAGAGATAGTCTTTGATAACTGCCTTTGTCAGTTTTCAAAGGGTAAATATTATGTAACCCCTGAATATAGTCCATAGGTTTATGGAAGCTTATTAAGTTGTCAGCAGAAGCATATTGCCTTTGTCATGCTTTCTGTTTGAAGTCTGCCGATAAATATGCATGGGAAATTCAGAGTCTTGACTTTGTTGGCTTGGGAGGTTTGGAGCAATTGCCCTAATGCATTTCCCGGTTCTAGCTTGTGTTTTTGCTCATTTTGCTGCCTTATGAGTTACATTAGCCAGTTAATCCCTCTTACTGAATGAAGATCGATGCAGAAAAAGCCCCAAGTGCTTTGGCATCATCTGTTAGAGATTTTTCCTTCCCATTGAATAGTGGGTTAATGTGCTCCTACTTTAACTGCTCTTTCTTTCACTG